ATTATTAAATGGCGCCTAGCAATGTCTGATGAATAGAAGACAGTGAAATGAAAGACCACTAGGCATCGGCACAGAGCAAGTTCGAGTTCACAAGAATGAAAACAAGAGTCGTTTAGAACACATAAATGAGAGAGGAATGTTTACGATTCACCTGACAATGCGGTTTGATAATTTTCCACGTACGTGACTGCGAAACGGCCGTATCGATGTACTGGAGCAATGAATGCAAAACTCGTGGAGACACATAACTACCACTTCGGTATCCATCAAGGACATGGAGGCATGTATTAAGCGCAGGAATTGCAAAATGAGCCATATAATTTTCGGCAAATTCAGCGTAATTCAGTTGTACTTGTCCAGAAGATCCATACCTAGAAATGCCATTCGTATTCATTTTCACCAACATCGTCAAAGTTACAGAAGTGAAGCTGTTGGTGTTACCGAAATGCAACATGCAACTATGATAAAGCACGATGCATGAACAAAAATTCCCGAAATTGCCACTTCGCTATAAATATCTTTGAGGTAATATAAGTCGTTGCGTAGATGTAGTTCAAGACTCTTTTTAGGTATAAGAGTCAACAGAGAGATAACATTTTGGTACGGCTATTTTTTTCTGGCTAGTTTCCCAACAGGTATGGTGTCAGATGCGAATTTTGATGCGACCGTATAGATGTCGCAAACGTGCGTGATGGTTGAATTCAAAATCTTTAGCTCACACACAGATAGAGAATGTCCCTGTAAAGCTCTACAGACTTATGTTTGACACTTCTGAAAGTCGTTTCCGCTAAAAAATAAACGTTTTTTACACGCATATAAGTAAGATCTAGGCGCAAATGAGCGTTGATTTCAAGGTGAAAGGAGAGCAGGTGGGATCGGAAATATGCTTCTCCTACAATTTTAGCTTCTCGACTTTTACGGATGCTGAATTGAAAGTGGATGATAAAATTTGCTCGCCTTCCAGAAAAAAAACAAACAACCTATTGAAAATATGAGTTTTTTCATTTGCATAAGATGTTAAAACGCACAAAAATCCCAGCCAAGCGCACGGTGTGACAGTGGCAATAGATTTGGCAGCCAAACACAGCGGAAGACAAACCCTGACATTTCCTAGCATCTCGAGAAGATACTGCGTGGAATTTTGCGCAATAAGTTTAGGAATCATGAACCAATGTCAACCTAACCAACTTCAACTATTACAGCAAAAATTAAACCGTTATGTGGAGAAAAAAGGGCAGAATATACGTCATGCAAGGCATTATGGGGAACAAAATGAATGCAGAGGAGTAACGCAGACCGCGACCCACCAAGCTTGCCAGTGCCGCCATGCATTCTTTCGCTAAACTTGCAGCAGTCAGACCGTTAACAGCATGAATGGTTCTTGTCTTACAGCTTAACATGTGAACTCATGTTGGGTGCGTTTTGGTCTTTCATCGCATGCGCAGTAAAAAGGACGTCAGTTGGGGCGGTAGTCAGCTGGGAGCGCACCGTGGGGCCGTCCGAAATCTTAAACTCCGGCTTGCCTAATTACGGCAGATACTGCATGAAAAAAACCCCAGGCTGGAAAACACCAGGCTCTCCGGTGCGATCATGCGTTTTTGCACTAAACTCGCAGATCGCTACTAGCAGGAATG